GTGAGAGAGAGGTCGAGTGAGGACATGGCAGTCTGGGTGACCCTGAGAGGGCACGTGACCAGACGAGGTGGCAAGGGGGGCCCAAAAGGGGTAAAAAGGGACACGTGAGGTAGGGACCAGAGTCTTCGGGAAGGATCTGGAAGGGGGCGTGGCCAAGGGCGGAGCCCGGCCACGCCGCGGCCGATAAAGGCCGAGTCACGAGCCCCAATCGGGCTGTTCTCTGGAATCAACCCTCGGTGCTACGTCTCTCCGATCTACGGTCTCCGCTCAGCATCGTGGGTCAGTCAAAACGTTACTGGCTGACCTGGTTATGTAGTTACCCTTGTGGGGTCTAGTTGTGAAATAAACATGTTGCCTCCAAGTCAGTGTGTGCCTCCGTGAAGAACACTACAGTAGTGTCCATTGACTATAGTAGTGTAGTGACATATTAGATGCCACAAGAGGGCAGCCATAGTACGCAGTGGAAGGGGGTGCTGTAGGGTCATGGCCTTGGCAAAGTGGAGAGAGAGAGAGAGTGCATGAGGACGTGGCCTTTGGGTGAACCTGGGAGGACACGTGACTGGACAACGTCGTAGGGGCTAACCCCAAAGGGATGGCGGGAGGAACACGTGATGAGATGCCATAGCTCTCGAGAAGAATTTGGAATGGGGCCAGGGCGCTGCTGAAGAGAGATGGGGCCCGCCCGCCAAGTCCTGAATCCTCGGTCTCGGGCGTGAGAAAAGTTGTCGAGAGCCGGGTAACGTGTTAGCTGGTCCGGCAGATTATATGGTGTTCCCGTGAGTGTTATGTAGATATCCTGGGGGTCACCACCCTTAGTCGTTATCCTGTTGAGTGAATACATACCAACGTAGCCTTGCCTGCCGGAGGAGCTCACCAATAGGACTTTGACCAGATCGTTCAAGGATTTGTGAACTCCTCACACAATCCAGCCTGGTTAAATCCAGGATGGATCGTAGGCAGGCCAGCCTAAATGTTTCTAACCGGCAAAGATGTTCCATTAAGGGGTCCTTGTTTCGCAAGCGTAAAGAAGGGAGGGAATGACTGTGGCTGAGAAGACCTGAAGCTTCGTGCGGAGTGATAGACCAGCTAGCTTCCACACAGCGTTATGCAACCAATGAAAATATATTGCTGCTCGACTGATTCGGAGTGAGACCTCTGCTGTCAAACCGAAGCTGGTCATGAGCACACTGCCCAGGTATGGGAAACTCTCCACTCACTCCACAACTGCCCCATCACCAATTGGTAGTTGTGGGGGGTGGAGTGTCCGATGGTACAAAATACCCAAGCAGGTGCTTAGTACACCAGCCCACAGGGGATTATTGTGTCCGTCCGTCGTGCATCCAAAAATGGGAGGGGTGGGGCTGGGTGGAGAGGGGAGGGTGGGGAGGGGCTGGGTGGGGAGGGTGGGGAGGGGCTGGGTGGGGAGGGGCTGGTCATCCCATGCTGCCCTTATAAAACTGAACGTTTAACCTACTCACGCTGGCTTGTGCCCACCCTCACAGTCGGCCATATTTGCGGAATACACCACGCCACCATTCACCCTGGCCATTGACCGAGCAACCCAACGTTCCTTCCAGCTCCCTCAGCAGGAATGTGTTTTGGTGGGGATGATGGTAAGGCCCCACCTCTTAGTGGCATGCTCCAGGTTCAGCAGCAGCACCTCCAACTCTCTCTGAGTAAGCGGCAAATACCAGATCATCGGCATACATAACGTGGTTGATCAATACGGAGCAATCCCTTGACCACACCCGGGCATCGATCAACCTCCCATGGTATCTGTACCAGATGAAAATTCCTTCGGTACAGCCATAAAAGGCTTCACAAACTATGTTGTCAAAATAGATGTTAAACAATGTGGGAGCCAGAGGACATCCCTTTTGCACCCCAAGGTGTTCAGGGAATGTCTCCGACTCCCGGCCACGTAGTTTTAACCCGGGCCTGCTCACCATCATGAAGGTCCTTAATGATCGTGAGCAGAGGGTCAGGGACTCCGAAAGCACGAAGGATAATCCAGAGCCCAGGCCTACCGATGGTATCATATGCCTTGACCAGGTCAATAAAGCAAAGATGTCGGTTTTGTTGGAATTCCCTACACCTCTGCTGTAGCAGACGGACAGAAAATATGGCATCTGTGCAGGACCGCCCATTCCTGAAACCGCATTGGGGCTCCGCAAGCCTCTCCTCAGCATGCCTAGCAAGGCGATGTTGAATAATCCTTGTCAGTACCTTTCCATGTCTGTGCGGTCCCCCTTCTTAAAGAGGGGGACCACCAGGGCATCCTTCCAATCCTGCGGAACCCGTCCAGAGGCCCAGACTGTTATTATGATGTCATGTAGGGCAGTCTGTACACAAACGTCATCTTCCCTCAGCATTTCGCTTGGGAGATCATCTCTGCCCGGTGCCTTTCCTGGCCTCAGACTCTGGATCGCTTTTAGTACCTCAACAGATGGCACCTTAGTGCACTAAAACACATACAAAGATGTACAAACATACAAATATCAACAAAAACACACACGTACACTCAAAACGTACACACCAGTGTGATAAGCGTCCTAAAATAAATCTTAACCAGGGCAAGTAACACCACCTCATATCTCAGGTCATATATTTGGATACTTGTACGTGGTTGCCAGCCAATGCTTGATCCAGAGAAATAACAATATCCAAAAGTGTGCTCGCATGTTACAGGAACGCACCATGCTCCTAGTGCCTCACATGCTTGGTGGGTGGGGGTGGAGCAGTAGCGTTGTTCTGTTTCATGTGGATGAAAGATTACGACAAATCAACCAAACCAGCAGTGCTATGGAGGGGTCGTGTTTAATCACCTGAAGTAACAATTCGCAAATAAATTGAAGCGTAATTTGAAAACCAATTAGGTCTTACAATTTAAGAATTGCGTACATTCTTACGCCATAAACATGATTAATAAATTGATATACAAGCAATTAAAGCTATCATAAAAAAAAATAGAATCATACATTTTCGGTTCATCTCACAAATCATAACATTACAATGACAATATTTGGTATCTTAAAATATGTTTGAAAAGTCCCTCTCAAAAGTTGAGCAAGGTGATTGTCCCAGTTGTGTCACGATTCTTCAGAGGTGGTCTCAGGCTGGACTTGTCCAGGTTCCAATGGTTAGTTTCTTCTCCGGAGTGGGCATGGAATGGAGGTGTAGGGTGATGATTCTGGCAAATGGGTGCCTATGCATTACTGAGCTGGGGCCTTTGTGTTGAGGATGATTGTGACGATGAGTGTCATGGTAGTTGAGGCTGGAAGCTGGATCGAATTAAACAGATGGTGGATACAAATGCTAACTTGTACAGTGCATGTTAGTCTCCAAGGCGGTTGATGATGTAGAGAATCACTCTGGCTGAAGTGCTGACAACGAGTGTGTAACTGGGTTTTGTGACAGTGCATATGTTTTTGGGTAGTGGTTATATGCAGGATTAATGAGTCTTGAGACACGCGAGATGGCTGGGTAGGATGCGTGGGTGTTGCATGGGTCCGTAGATAGGAGCCAGATTCGGGGTTGTTCTGGCCTGGGATGATTCCAACAGAGGCAGTACCAGAGTCCCGGCTTTCAGTCCCTGGCTCGCTCAAGGAGGCGCCAGTGGAAGCTGGGATCAGTCAGTTGGGTCGCTGTGTGCCAGCAGAGTGCGAAGGATCTAGGTAGGTCCCTTTGGGTAACTCCAGCAGTGATGGAGATATCACAACATGAGGTTCAACGAGTCAAAAACATTACAAGGTAGAGAGTAAGTATTAGTGTACATCTAGAAAGTAAATAATTCACCGAGATCCACGTCCCTGCACGGACTTTGCTCTTAAAACGTTAGCAACACGTACATTCTTACACCATGAACATGAATAATATATTGACATACAAGCTATTAAAGCTATAAATTTTTTTTTTATACATTTTCGGTTCACTCACAAAATCACAAGATTACAATGACATTATACAGGTAGGAACAACAGGTTCCACACTGCCCACCAGGGATTATTTGTCTGTCTGTCGTGCATATGGGGAGGAGAGGGTGGGGGGTGAGAGGGTGGGGCTGGGTGGGGTGGGGCTGGTCACCCCGCGGTGCCCGTATAAAACGCAACGTTTAACCTACACACTACACTATACACGACACGACACACAACAATTATACAGGTAGGAACAACAGGTTCCACACTGCCCACCAGGTATGAATTGTCTGTCTGTCGTGCACGAATGCGCTGTCCAACCAAGTTCCCACCTGCCAACTCCAAAGGAACGTGTTTTGGTATCTAAAAAAAATGTTTGAAAAATCCCTCTCAAAAGTTAGCAAGGTGATTTACCGAGTGCAGTGACGGACATGCTGGTCTTGTCCGACACTATCACCATACAGGAGCAGAATTTGGCAAATTGATCCCCATGAATACTGGTCCTCTGAGGCGGGATTGTCGAGGTCATTTTAGGGGGAGAGTTGTTTTTATTATAATTTTATATAAAGAGAGGCCTCGGTGAGAAAATATGGTGGGGAAAGTGAAGAAGTGATTTTGCCAGGTAAAACGGTTTCAGACCGATAGAGAAAATGTTCAAAAGATGAAAAGTGTGATAAAGGTCCTCGGTGTATAACAATCGAATCGATTGTGAGGCGATTGAGGATGACTTTTATTATATGCGCTCAAAGTAGGAGTGTAGAGAAAAGGTCATTTATACGGGATCATTTGACTCGACTGGGAATTGAGTGCGAATCTGTGTGTGAGGTTGGGGGTTTGGAGAGATGTTTTTTTTTATCCCAGTAACGTTTAATAAACGGTGTGAAATATATAGAATAGGTTCGATGGTAATACATCGAATACAGTCGATGGCAACCTTCATAACATTCAAAAGTGGGTTCATATTTTCCTTTTTCCCGTATTTTTCTTGCAAGTTTTTTTTCCACAGCTTCCTTTGTTACACGATCCAATTCTGCTGGGAATTTTGCTGCTTTGGTTCCATACTTCTTGGCAAGTTTTTCATTGTATTTATACAAAACAAACTTCCAAATTGGTGGCTCCGGGTGGAAAGTCCCAAGATTTGTAATAGTCATTAACTTCACGATAGTTCCTGTACTCATACCACTCTCCCTTAGTATCCTCGTTAGTGAACGAGTGTGCTTCTAGATACGAGTATTTGCTCTTTGCCACAGACGTTGTGCATACATTGACGATCAGAGTTCCGTCACTACACTTCCTGCCGCACAGCCCTTGAGGGTAATGCATCGCTGCCCCGTGCTCCCTGTGAGCACTGCCGCCACGGTCACAAGGGGCCTTGCACAAGGGACAAAGTTGCCCACAGCCAGACACAGTCTTGAATATCTCTTCATGTGGCTTCACTGGCATTTCATCCAATAACGTGTTAAGGTTTTCCAAGCCACACAAATCTTTCATAATTTCGGAGCTCACTCGCTTAATTCCTTCACAAACTTCTTTTTTAAACTCTTTGATCTTGTCTGGGTTTTCAAGAGTGTGGGGTCCCACAACTTGAAGAAAGTCAAATTTCATGACCATGTCTTTTATGAGATTAGATTTTAGTTTTTCTAACAAATCAGCCACTTCTTGGTTCTTTCGGTAAAGTCACGTAGAAGGGAAGTAATAAAATAACAGATTATGTGTTCCGTTTCTTTTAATATCGCTTCGTTAAATTTTTCCATGATCCCATCTAGAATAGGTTGTACATAGCATTGGATGTTATAGGGCTTCTCTTTTTTCTTTTCATCCATTTGTGTGCAATGCTCTACGATGAGACCCTTTTTCACTAACTTAATGAAGCCGTTGGAGTCGTGGATGAAACTGGTTAAGGTGTCAAAGTTGTCTCCGTTCAGTAGGGACGACAAAATAGTCGCTTGAAGTGCTTTACGATTTGAAAGAACAATGTTTGTCCTCATTTTCCAGACAATAATTGTCCCTAATTGTTCCTTCAGAACTGCCAAGAATGCGGGTTTAAGGCATCCATCACAAAGGGCGATAACATTTCTTTGTTTTCCATCTTCAGTTTTACACATTGATGTCAGCAAATTGCAATATGATCTTTTAATCTCTTCAAGTCGAGTCGATGGGTCGTTTTGCTTAAGAAAATGCTCGTGTTGCTTTGTGAAAGGTTCGATGGCAATGGAGCAAACATACATCTTGATGTCTATTACGAAACATTTGCTGTATTGTTTGTTATCATCGGGTGTGTTTTTCAAAATCAAATCTACGTGCTGCAGCAGTTCATCACAGTAAGCTGGCCAGTAATCTGTGGCAGCATGTGCTTTGGTTTTTATGAATTGTTTGCATTTATCAATAATGTCACTGGAGAGATTTACAATGCTGTCTAGTGCAGTTTTTTCTTCAAATGACTTTGCTTTACTATGCATTCCACTGTAGTGGGTTTTAATTGTCTTAAAATCTTCTCTTCCCATATCAGGCCAAGAACAACTTTGCAACCTTTCCTTGAAAAGACTTGCATCCGTCTTTGTCAAAGAAAGCAATGCTTTTGCCATGTCACGTTCCACGTCACATTCTTGCAATGTAATTCTCTTGAGATCAGAAACCGTTTCAGACCAAATTACATTAAATGTCTTCTGAAGTTCCTCTTCGTCCAATCCTTTGTCAGAATGTGTGCAGTTTTCCAAGACCCTTTTAACTTTCCCGCCTATAGTTTGTTTGTACTGCGTTTCTACATTTCTGTAAGATTCTAGGCATTCATGTGTATCGATGCACTCCTTGCATTTGCCAAGAGTCTCATTTGACACCACAGAGCATAATTGTTGAACACTAATGAGAAAATTCCTTCTTGTATTTCTCAACAAGGCTGTTTTTTTCATAAACCTTCTTAAAATAATCTGACAAACATTCCTTAAATTTACATTCTTCTTTGAACACTTCATCATCAACATCTTTTTCGAAGCTTCTTTTCAAATTTAGAAGCTCTTCATGTGATGCACGCTTTACTTTATTGGACACATTTTGCATCCAGGAAATCATATTCATACGAAGATTTAATTCCCATCCTGTATATGCAGAGCATAACATGTTGTATGCTTCAAGAACAAGAAAGTTCCGGAAATGGAAGACGTATGTTTCTTTTTTCATTGCAGTCCACATCGTCTTTATCCATCCACTGATTTCTGGAAACGTGTAAATGTTTCCCAACTTTGCACGTTTTTTTTGCATTTTTCTAGGAGGTGTTTTTTTAGTTTCCATACCTCATCACTATATGTACAATTGACCCGAGCCATATATGAACCACCAGCCCGGAGTCCAGGGATGTACCATTTGTCGTTTTCTGCATCATAATCTATAACATCAGTGAAGCGTTTATAATACATCGATTTTTCTTCCATTTTTGCAGCTGCCTCAGTCATCTCGTTCAGTATCTGAAGAAGACGTTCCTGGTCCTGTTTATTCTTCTCATGAGCAGAGACGCCTCCACTATTCTGATGAACAAACACGCAGCTGGGTTTCTTTCCACCTTCAGTCATTCTCAAAAAAGCGTGAACAACAATCTGCAGAATGTCTTTCATTTCTTCTGCATTTTCCATCTTGACATTAAGAATAGTAGCATTGCCGATCCCAATACCCAGTGTTGCTAGCTCATTGTCATGCTCATAGCTGTTTTCGAGTGTTGCCAGCTCAAGTGCTTTTAACCCTTCTGTGTCGATCACCAGGATGAACTCAAACCCGAGCTCTTCTGTTAATTCATTGTCAATGCGGAGGAGCTGCATGAATGCGCCGCGTGTACAGCGACCAGAACTCACTGCGAACTGCAGCCCAAACATGGTGTTGAGCAGCGTGGACTTCCCTGAGCTCTGCACGCCCAGCACAGACAGCACAAATATGCGGGGGTCTCGTTTCAGAATGTTGTTTACTTCACCTAACAGAATGTTATTTACTTCTTCGAACACGTCTGTGACCCAGTCAATGGGAATGCATCCAGCGTCTCCATCTAGGAGCTCCATGGGAAATCCATCCAGAAACAAATGTGCCATACGAGTTGAAGCTCTTTGCTTATGTCATGAGCACCACATGCATTGACGTTTTTATTTTCTTCACGCATTGTTTTTCTTGTTTTATCATTCAGTTCAAGTTCCAGCCCGTGTAAGAATAGCTTATACTCCTCTTCATCAAATTTAGAATGTTTTGAAATAAATTCTGTCATTGTTGGTGAAATCCGTTTCATTTGTTCAAGGCGGAGATTTAGTTTTTTTGTTTTCAATTTGTTCGTATATTCAAGACCGCTTCCCTTCTTCAATCGGCACAATTCTTTTTCTGTGTCTGACCATTTGTGCCACAACTTTTCACCTTGACAAGGAAAACAGTTTTCACGGACACCATTACAGGCTCCCATTTTTTGCATAATATCTTTGATCGCTTCTGCACTCGTTTGACCTTTTATGTTATTTGCATCAATTTTTATATTTAAATCTGTGACACTTTTAGATATCCTTTTCAGATTATTTGTGATAGTACAGCGATTTAATACAGCCTTCAAGAGCTCACGAAAAATGTTGCTAATGATAACCTTGTTCTTTTTCTCTAAATCACATATATTTTCATCCTGAACACCCAGTTCATCTAACGTTTTCTCTAAGAGTTCATCTGTTTCATCATTTTCAGCTGTATTTTTCAGCCAAAACATTTTTGAATTTGAATGAAAATATCTGGTTACAAATTTTTGTTCATTTTCTCCAAAATTTTCAATCAGAATAACCATTGCATCACAGGCCTTTTTCAGAAATTTGAATTGAGTCGGGCTCTCTCTGACATCGCCTCGGAGATTTAACACTGCAAATGTCTGACCAAAGATCTGAACTTTTATCCCCAGGTGGAAAATAGAAACTTATTTCCACAAGTCCATTTGAAATTTGTCTGAGAGAATTGCCACCTTGCATGTCTCGATGAATGAATATATCTGCTTTGTCATTGCTCAGGATTGAGTTGAGCAGCTCTGATTTAGAGATGCTGGACCCACCAAGCCGTACAAACGCTATCATAGGCATGGGTACAACAGACATCGAATCCTCGGTGTAGCCTTTTGTGGCCAGTTTATAGTGGGGTCCCCATATGTGAACGACTGATTGCATGGCCTGCACTAAAAATGTGATATTTCCTTCATTCAAGTCGGGTAAGAGCAGCGGCAAAGCAAACTGACACTGTGACATCTTCACCATGAGTGCCTGCTGTAAAAAGGTGTCAGAGCACAGAAACAGTGCGGTTATTAAATCCAATATGTCAATAGAATTTGATGTTCTTGATTTGCCTACTCGATTGGACCTACATCGAGAATTAGAAGTTGTTTTAGAAGTGTCTTGTACAAGCGTCTCCCTTTTGGAGAATTCAGTGGACCTGGATAAAGAATTTGCCCTCAGCAAATTATTAATAAAATGCAAAGGCACGTCCTTGAGGCACTTAGGTTTTTCTTCAGAAAGGGTCCCTTTAGATATTTGTAAAGCTTTGGCAAGCGTCCATTTCTGTGGGTAGAACTTCATTAAATCCAAATCCATCAGAAGTGTTTGAAAACTTGTGTTCTTCATTGGTGTTTGTACTTCTTTCGCAGGATTCACAGCACGATTGTCGATATCGACATGTTTGATTGCTGGAACAGACCGAAGCACATGTTGCATTTAAGGATAATTTCAGGCAATGATGCCTTGCCTCATTTAAATTCCCTTATGTTTTCATATTATATCTCCATCATAAGTTAATCAATCTCTCTTTACCCATCTTTGATCATATTCAGTGGTAGATTCACTGTACTCCAGCCTGGTCCGGGAGTTTAAGCAACAAAACTGCTGGATGCACAATTTAATCATTCAATGCACATCCTAACCCCGGATCTTGTTATGGTGAACAATCTGCCACCAAATACTCGCAGAGACATGCAAACTACAAAAACGCATCTCCGGCCTTTAGCATTCCTCAAAGACACAGGTTTAACTATCAGCTGCATCAGAACAGTTATAGTCCAATGTGCACATCTAGTGACATTCGTAAACATTTCACTTTCAAAATTGGTCCCTTGGTCTGCATGCAACCTTGCCACAAATCGATAAACACAAAACTCCTGGTCCACAGTTTCCTTTCCATTTGTTATGCCATTCTTGTTCATGCAAGAGATCGCATGTGCCAATTTCATCGATGTGACACATTTTCCAGTTTCAAAATTACGAAAAAATATAAGAATAGGCTTCACCTTTTCTGATAATAAAACAGGTGTTAAGATGCTCAAACACGAAATATATTCACATGAAAGAGGATTGGCTGTTAATAATAACCTGTGGCATTCAAATTAAACTTGTGGAGTTCCATTGGGGTAGTACAAAGGCTGCGTACCTCCTGTCGTCATCCTCGTGCATAGAGCTGTTGTAGAACCTTAAGTACTACCGCATGATGGACCTCGCATGTTGTCCCCTAAAGCCACCATTGTACACCGGTTAAGGCAGATGGTGTACATCCTTAAATGGTCCATGTGTTTGGATGACTCTTAGTCCTTATATTATCAGGTAAACCTCTGCCTCTAAAACGGTAATCCCTTCAGCAAGATCTACAATCTTTTTTTCCTCCAGTATTCCGCCTTACCCTTCAAATGCAGCAGCAGAATACTTTAATATGCTGCAGACGAGAATGAGATCATCTACATCTACTTTGCCAGGTACCACTAGGGTCAGCAAAAGTAGTTCTACACCGTTAATGCATATGTAATAAACCTTCTCGAGACGGCTCTTGGAATCAGTCCTTTATTTTCCACTTCCACAGTTTACACTCACACTCCCCGTTGCTGGCAGGCAACGGGAAGCGGGCAGACAGTCAGCTAAGTCGCACGCCACGTGGCACCCAGAGCCCCGTACGTGCGTGGCTCCTGCTCTCGTCGTTCCCAGGTCTGTTCCCGACTCCTCCGCCTCTCCCCCTTTTAACCCCTGGGTCACGTGGTACCCCTAAGCCAATCCTCAGTAGTCAGCGTCGAACATTCCAGATCATTCCCCGTCAACTCCCGGGACCACGCCTCTGATCCGGCTTCCCATTAGCCGAGGCCAAGATCGGCCAAGCCAATCACCTTAGCTAGCATGCCGTGATCACGCCGAGGCCATGCTCCCGGGCTCTCCCCTCATTGGCTACAAAGCGGGACCGGCAAGCCGATCACCACATGAGCCATACATGGCTCTCATTACATCACCCCCCCCCCCCCCCCGGTGAAAAAAATCAGCCGTCTCGGCTGGGAAAAAGGGTGATTATCCGATTCCATAAAATTGCTTATTAGGGCGCCAAGACGCATTTAACAATAAAAGGGTGAAATGGCGTCAATGCGCCAAACAACACTTAAAAACAGAATCACCCATGAACAATCAGACATACATTAGGGCGCCCCTGCAGCGCAGTAACAACAGAGAAGGGACAGCAAGACAATCAGACGCTAACAAAACGGGAGAGATTTAGATCGCGTACGCGACGCGGGACCCTCTCCGCTTCCTGCGCACGGTCGCCTTGCCGCTGGTTTGACAGGAGGTGGTAGGCGTGAATAAGAAGATTGTTCATTTTCGGTCATATCCAGGGCAGGTCCCGTTGGAGGGGGGACGGCGGGGGTTTCCTCAGCCCTCAAAACCTGTTCATCTGCAGGGGGCACAACACAGTCCCGCTGGGGATCAACGGGCGAGGCAAGCGGCGTAATCGGCACAGCAGATCCCGGCAGGTCAGGAAGTGGAGATGAGGGATCGGCACGCGGACTAACATAGGGTTTAAGTCGCGACGAATGGACATACCACCGACGTTTTCCGTACTGGACGTGAACACTCTGCGGATTTCGAATGTCTACCAACGTCACAGGCCCCCGCCAAGGCCTGTGCAGTTAAGGGGATGTGCCTGCCGGCACCTGAGGGCAGTGGAGCCATGCTAGGTCGCCCACCGACCAGGGCATGTGAGTACGCGATCGGCGCGCATACCTCTCGTTCCTTGCCTACGTACGGGCCGTCGCACATCTGGCGGCCTCTCGCGCCTCAGTAACCCGTTCCAGCGAGTCCCGTACGTGATCAGGCAAGGAACGGGACGGTTGTTTACTCGGCGTACCCAGTTGCACATCAATGGGTGGTACATTCTCACGGCCGTACATCAGAAAAAATGGTGAATATCCCGTGGACGCGTGCGGAACCATGCGGTACGCCGCTAAGACGCCCGGTATGTGCAAGTCCCAATCGGTTTGCTTTTCACTCACCGTGTGACAAAGCATAGCCGAGAGGGTGCGGTTGAATCGTTCCACCATGCCATCCGTTTGCGGATGGTACGGGGAAGTGCGGATCTTCTTCGTGCCCAGCGCATCGCAAACCTCTTTGAGCAATTTGGAGAAGTTACGTCCCTGATCTGTGAGCAGCCTCTCGGGTGCTCTCTTATCCATGACGTACCCGTTCAAGAAAGCATCGGTGATGGATGCGGCCGTCTGGTCGGGCAGAGGCCAGGCCATCGGCCATCGAGAAAAATATTCTACTCCAACCAGGAGGTACTTATTGCCCCTAGCCGATGGAGGGAACGGGCCCAGAATGTCCAGAGCAACTAATTCGTTTATTCGGGACACCTCAATGGAACGTAATGGCGGCACATACTGTTTCCGAGGCCGTTTTCTCTTCGCACAATCCTGGCATGAGCGGACAAAGTCATCAACGTCTGCCGTCATGCCGGGCCAAAAACAATCTTTTTGCATTGCGGCCAAAGTCTTCTGCACACCGAGGTGCATCAATTTGTCAGCGTGCAGAGTGCGAAGCAGGTCATAGCGAAGGGAAGTAGGCACGACCAAGCTGTGGTCGGTCAGGCAACCCGTCGGTACACATCAAGAGTCCTGCCCGGCCTCGGAACATCCGCCACTTCCATCCCGCCAATTGAGCTTTTTGTTTGCTGATCAATTTCCGCAGCGGAGCCAGCGAGGTATCGGCCTCCTGCTCGCGTAGCCAGACCGAGTGCGGCAGCTGCAGGGTATCATCAGTGTCCACCGACACCTCTTGGTTGTC